GAAGACGTATCAGTTCAACAGAGTGGTAGGAGTAGATTCGTTCTACATCCCGTTCCAAGACAAGACCCTCTGCTTCTTAAATGTTGTCTGTCACGGCACGAACTTCCAAGTAGTGCAGCGATATGAGGGAGGATCTAAGGAGTGCTGGGAGGCTTTCCAATCCTCTTGGGCTCGCTACTTCGGGCCGCCCGAGATGATCATATGCGACGGGGGGCCCGAGTTCGAACAGTATTTTGGACGAGGAGCAGAGCACGAGGGTATCCTATTGCACGTCGTCAACGGGGAAAGTCCTTGGGAGAACGGGAAGGCTGAGAGACACGGAGGATGGGTGAAGGACTTGTTGCTGAAGGGGATGGAGGATCAGGTGGTTTCGGATGAGCGTGACCTAGAGACACTACTTCACGGTATTGTAAGTTCAAAAAACAGATACCTCCATCGCGGTGGTTTCAGTCCATATCAGTTAGTTCTGGGGCAAAACCCAAGAATCCCTAACGACGTGCTATCCGATGACGCTGTGAACGGGGTAGGCTCAGCCGACTTGATGGAAACGGCTTGGGATCGGGACACGGTCGCCGCGGGGTACGCCAGGGACAATTCCATCAGAGAGTATGCACGCCGTGAGCTCTTCAGGATCACCAGTCGCCAGAAGGTCCAGGAGGCCAATCGAGCGAGGCAGCACAAAGACCACGTCTTTCACTCTGGCCAATGGGTATATGTTTGGAGACGAGCACCTCGAACAGGAAAAAAGACGATGGCTTTGCAGCGGGATCGCTGGGTAGGTCCCGGCATTGTGATCATGCATTCTCAAAACACTGTATGGGTGGCAATGAGAACTCGTCTGTGGAAGTGTTCCCCTAGTCAAGTTCGTGCTGCAACGAATCCAGAAGCAAGAGGTGCTGAAATCTTGTTCGATCCTGCTGTGAAAGAGCTCATTCGAGAGGTGAGATCAGGACATCAACGAGCCGGAGTTGACGTGGAGTCCGAAGGCGATCCTCCTGCAGAGGCTTGGTCCGATCCAGTTCCAGCATCCACCAGACTCGAGGGCATGCAGTCTCTTCCTCCTGCTCACTCCGACGCGCCCGCAGGAGACACAGGAACACGAAGTACCCCTTCAGGTGGAGCAAGTACTCCATCGGGTGCCGCAACCTCACGCAGGGCCGTTCCCCACCTTTCCTCTCCGCCTCCTGCGGAGGCTCCTCTGGATCGTTTCCTAGGGCCTCTGGATCAGGAGCGACCTGGAGCTGCCTCGGGGGTGCCGGTGCCTGGGACGCCTGTCGATTCTACGGCTTCACCTAGGAGCCAAGTTCGGGGCCCTGGGTCCGTGGAAAATTCTTCGTCCGACGATGTCCGAGGGACTAAACGGCAGCTCTCCGGGAGCGATTCTGGGTCGAGGTCGGAGTTGGGCCAGGAGCGACAAGTTGAGCCAAGAATTGAAGGCCCGGTCGGGCCGGAGGTTTCCTCTGGTTCGGGACCGTCCCTGGAGCCTCGCCCGTCTCCTCTTCCCACTCCCCTGCCAGGGGGAACCGAGGAAGACTTTCAGCGGGCCGTGTCTAGTGCCGCAGCCGAGGCGGTTCGCAGGAACCGAATGTTAGACCCGGGCCCTCGGGCCCGACGGCTGCCCACCCGGGGAGAGGATTTCGGCGGGATCCCTTACGGTAGAGTTCAGCAGCAGATTCAGGAACGAGAGGCTCCCCGGTCCCGGAGTCCCGAGCAACGAGACGGCCCTGGGGCCGAGACCTGGGTTCTCTATGAGGACCTCGACGAGGAGATCCCGGATGCTCTATGTCTGTTTCAGGATCGCTGTGAGGACCCCGGCTCGTGGAACGAGCGAGCCGACTACGTCGAGAAGAGCCTTGACTCTCATCTGAAGGTTTGTGGGTGGAGTGGAGACTGGCAGACATATCTCAACGGGAACGCGGACATGTTTGTGGAGGTTTTTCCTGGAGGTTCTGGATACGGCCTAAGCTTGGCCACCAACAAGGGACAAGAGGCACATCTTGGGAGAATGACCGAAGAAGAGCGAGAGGAGTTTAGGGCTTCCGACAGTCTTGAGTGGAAGGCAATGACGAGCTCTGGTGCTGTCAAGGTTCATCCTCCTTCCATGGGCCACGAGCTAAGACGTCTGTTTCCCAACAGAGTGGTCTCTTCTAGAATGGTTCGCCGGTGGAAGCCCCAGCCTGGAGTCCACTCTAGGCCCAAGGCCAAGAGCCGTTGGTGCGTTCGGGGACACGAAGACGAAGACACTGCTGAGCTCAGCGTGTATGCGCCGACACCTCAGATGGAAGCTTTGATGCTATTCATTACTATAAGTTTGATGTACGGTTTAGAGCTCTACGTGGGCGACCTCAAGAACGCGTTCTGTCAGAGTAATAAATTGTCGCGTTCTCGTGGGAGAGTATTTGTAGAACCCTGTGAAGGCTTGGATCTGCCGACAGGTTCATTAATAGAATTACTAGCACCGGTCTACGGATTGGACGATGCTCCGTTAGCGCTACATACCACTACCTCAGAGTTCTTCCAGAAGGAGCTAGGACATGGCAAGAGTCGGCTAGAGCCCTGTTGGTTTTATGAGAGGACGAAGGACAACGAACTATTAAGCCAAGTACTTGTAGAAGTAGACGACTGGATCATGGCCTTGCAACCTTCTATAGCTAAGAAACGCATAGATCGTTTTCGTTCTCGTTTTAACTTCGGCAAGCTTGAGCGGATCGACGAAAATGGAGTTGAGTACATTGGACGACGCATTAGATTATTATCCGACCGCGCTCTAGTCGACCAGGAAAAGTACATTCTGGAATCGATTACTCGTCTGGACATCCCTCGTCATCGAAGAAGCGATCACAACCAGCCATTGCTCGGCACGGAGTGCGTTAATTTCAGATCCTTGATTTATAAATTAAATTGGATTGGCCGTGAGTCCAGAGCTGAAGTATCAGGCACGGCATCTATACTTGCGTCCCGGGTCAACAATCCCACTGTAGGCGACGCCCTCGAGGCCAACAAGGCAGTGGACATGTTGCGAAGTACTGCCTCGATTCCAATAACGGTGTGGAGATTCAAGAAGGGTCAGATGATCTTTGGCACGGCCTCAGATGCGGGTGGAATCGGTGCTGCCCGGCCAGGACATGCTCAACAAGCATGGCAAGTGTATGCCGCTGATCAGAGTCTCTCCACCGGCCGCCTCTCTCGTGTGACTCCTCTAGCTTGGCGGTCCTCACGCCTCAGAAGACAGGTGCCGTCCACCCTCGGAGGAGAAGTCATTTCCTTGAGTGCCGCTCTGGGGGAGGCGGAATGGCTTCAGATGCTTTTCTTGGAGGTGACTCAAGGGGGCCTGTTGACGAACACATGGAGGGATCATGCGGGTCCCTTCACGACCGTCCTCCGGCAGGATAGCGAGTTGAACGTGTCCCCTTTGAAGAATGTGTCCATCGTTGACGCCAAAGGAATCTTTGATACTCTAGATAAGATAACCTCGGGATCGAAAGCAGATCGCAGAATAGCAGTGGACCTTGCAGTTATCAGAGAAGTGATGGAGAGAATAGGTAGCAGCATTCGCTGGGTCCCACATCCAGCCATGACCGTCGATATTATGACGAAGTCAGATGTGTCGAAGGGAAACGCTTCGCAGTTCAGGATGTTGAAGACCGGCCTATTGCGTCTTGTGGCCGAGGCAGATAGCTTGCAGGAGCGAAAGGATCTACCATCGTCTCGGAACAGGAGCAAAGCGTATTCCAGCAAGTATCTGAGTCGAACTCAGAAGAATGTGGAGGAGGAGGAAGAGGAGCAGGAGGTCTAGGGCTAGAACGGTAAAGATCGACTCGACATACGGATTCACGTGCCGAAACGTCTCTTTCTCTCTCTCTCTCTTGCTGTCTCCGCCCGCGCCGCCCCCCCGCCGTGGTTCCTGCCCCGGCTGCTCTCTCTGCTTTCTCTCTCTCTCTCTCTCTCTTTCTCTCTCTTGGTCGGTGTTGGAAGGGTTCCTGAGCTTTTGAAGCGGCTGAACTTTCGGGAGGTATAGTCCACCTCAGTATTATGCATGACTCGCATCTTATGCTAGGGCTCACGCCTCAAGCATTCAGTTTTAAGACCTTGCTATGGCATCAGTAACGTGTGCAGTTCTATGTCACGAGTTTTGTTTCCCATCCTTCCAGTGCAGTTCTGTCCAGCGCCGAGGCCCATTGATGGCAGTTTCTCCCGGTTTTAATCTCACTAAAATGGGGTCCACTGTGTGAGTTCAGTGTGTCCCTATGAGATTAAACCTCTTTGTTATTCCATCCTTTGCTTGTGCATGTGTCATGCTCTGTTGTATATTTGTGTCATCATCTTTTGGCTTACAGGCACCTTTAGTAGCTGACGCGCCTTCGGCGAGATAAACGTGTCATCCTACCGCCGCTCACTCGCAGTCAGAGCCTATCAGGAGGAGGTTTCGTTTGACAGAGTCGGTAGCGAGGTGGGCCGTGCCCTAGGCGAGTACTGTAGCACTCGCGAAGCACAGTCTCAGCATCACGCCGCTGAAAGCGGCCAACAAAACTGTCTGCCGTGACGGTTACCAGACACGAGGAGGCCCGGGCCTTACCCAGCACGGCGGAGGTGCACGCATTACCAGCCTGGAGCGTATCCTTGTCCCTAAGATTGGCATCACCCTATCTCGGTACCGATCTTAAGGTTTTCCCCAGGTTCGGAGGGCGCCTTGCGCCTGTCCAGTGCTCCTGGCGACCGTTCCTGGGTCACCGTGGACCTGGCCAGGCCGGCCTGCAGCTCCATGAGGCACCTCAGAAGAGGCATATGTTGCCAGACACTGGAGATGCCGCCTTGGACCTTGAGGCAAAGCAGTTCCTTCCCGATTCCATCCCCCAGTCACGGCGCAGCAAGCAAGCAGAAAGATTATGATCGCCTTGGGAATGCGTAGGGATGTGTTCCAGGTTTGGTCACGCCGGAGCGGCAGCAGCGCGGGAGAGGAGGCGGAGAGCACGGCCCCCCCCTTGCCCCGCTGGCGCGAGGCGGCCGTGCTCCGCTACAAGGCCGAGCAGGGCGAACGGAGCCCAGTGACCCAGGGCGGCGGAAGAGGAGGGAGGGAAGAGGGAGGAGAGAGAGTGGAGAGTGAGGAGGAGGAGGAGGAGAAGGAGGAGGAGGAGGAGGAAGAGGAGGAGGAGGAGGAGGGGGAGGGGGAGGAGGGGGAGGGGGAGGGAGGAGAGGCGAGGGAGGGGGAGGGGGAGAAGGAGAAGGAGTGCGGCTGCACATCCAGCAGAGGGTCCGCTTGCCTTCATGGGCTATGTACATATGTAAATGTATTCACACACACACCTAAATACACATGTACTTGAACATCGATAGGTATAGACATATCTCTTTACACTGTATAACTGTGTATGGATGCAGATGTGTAGGTGTGTCGATCGCTGGTTGTATATATTTCTTCATGTGTGTGTATGTATATGTGTCTGTCTCGCTCGATCGATCTATACATACATCCATACATACATGCATACATACATACGTGCATGCATACATACATGCATACATACAGACAGACAGAGGCAGAGACAGACGACAGACAGACAGACAGACAGACAGACAGACAGACAGACAGACAGACAGACAGACAGACAGACAGACAGACAGACAGACAGACAGACATGTGTGTGTGTCGATATATGCGTGTGTGTGGGTATACGCGCGTGATTGTGGCATCCTGGTCATTATGTTTACACCGGTACATACTGATAGGAATTATGCGCCCATCTCGTTACCATTCATACCCATCTCCCCATATGTAACATGGATACGCGGACACCGAAATACATGCACACCTGAATGATGATTCACGCTTCGCGTATCCCCACCATCCCATTCAGAAACCCTGCCCATGAGAGCTGATTGGAATAGGGACGAAGAGACACCTGTAGCGAAACAAGCGGGCGACCAAGGTGAACAGAGACGTCTCTAGGAGCAAAGGGGTGGCCTTGAAAGGCCTCTTCGGGCCATCCCTGGCGTCCGCTGAGGGCGAGGGGAGAAGGAGGAGGAGGAGGAGGAGGAGGAAGAGGAGGAGGAGGAGGCAAACCGCCTCTTGGTGCCTTCGTGGGACTCTCTTAGGCGCGCTTGGGGTCGTCTTGGGGCCCTCTTGGAGCTCTCTGGGGACCCTCTTGGGAGCCCTGGAGGGCCTATTCAGGCCATCGTGCAGGCTATCGATCGAAGGAGGGGGGTCCCCGATGTGCCTCCCTCCTCTGGGGCCCTCAAGTCCGCCGTTGGGAGGGGGGGCTCTTGGGGCGCTCTTGGGACTATCTAGGGCTGTCTGGGGTCCTCTTGGGCCCTTCTTGCGGTTCTCTTTGGCCATCTTGGGGCCATCTTGAGGCCCCGGAAGCGCATCGGAAGCAAAAAAGCGAGAAGGCATTAATCAGTGGTGTTCTTGCGGTGTTTCAAGGAGTTCGGTTTCCTGGGGGGTCCTGGGGGGCTCCAAGAGCACTTGGGGCCGCCTTGTGGCCTTCTTGGGGCCTCTTGGAGGCATCTTGAAAGCCATCTTGAGCCATCTTCGGTAACCTTGAGCCACCGTGGAGGCCATCTTGGAGCATCGGGCGCTCTCTCGGGGCCATCTTGGGCGAGACAGGACCCTCTGCCACCTCGCGACCCCCCCTCAAGAGAAAAGAAAATCCTGGCGAAGGACCCAACCATTTGCAGTTGTGAATACAGTGTTGAGGCGCCGCAGTGGGGCGGCGGCGCCATGTGGACCCTGCCACTGGGGCCTTCGGCTGATCTCGCTATGGAGCCACGACGAAACGTGTGAGGGGTGCACCAAAACGGGACGGCGGCGCCATGTGGACCTTGCCGCGGGGCCTTCGGAGGGGCGCCCTACGGGGCCACGAACCGTGCGAGGGGTGCGCCATAATGAGACGGCGCCGCCATGTCAACGCTGTCACTGGGGCCTTCTGTGGGGCCACGAACCGTGTGAGGGGTGCGCCACAATGAGGCGGCGCCTCCATGTGGACTCTGCCACTGGGCCTTCGGTGGGGCTCCCTACAGGGCCACGAACCGTGCGAGGGGTGCGCCAAAATGGAGCGGCGGCGCCATGTGGACCCTACCACTGGGGCTTTCGGCTGATCTCGCTATGGGGCCACGAACCATGTGAGGGGTGCGCCACAATGAGGCGGCGCCGCCACGTCGACCCTGCCATTGGGGCCTTCGGTGGAGCGCCCTACGGGGCTACGAAGTGTTGCACTGGGTGCGCCGAAGCACAGGCATGCGGAGGGCAGAGGCAGGGATGGGGGGATGGAGGAGGGAGAGGGGGCAGCGGGAGGAAGGAGTGAACGCAGGGCGCTGTCTCTTCAAAACGAGGACCCAAAGACCACAGGATGGTTGGGAAAAATCGGTGAGGGGAGGGGCTGGGTACCCCTCCCGAAAGGGATGGGGCTTTGGAAGAGGGAGAGAGATACCGTTAGACCACCTACGCCCAGAAGATTGGCGTGATGTGTACCTATATGTGTGTATATGTACAAACGTAGGTATACGTATACATGCATACACATATACATGTATATATAGACATATACATGTACAAATGCTTATACGTGTACATGTACATATAGAGATGTATACATCTGCAAATATCCACATATGTACGCTTGTATAGACACACACCTATACATCTACAAATTAATGTAAACATAGATGTATGCATGCATATACACACATACGTATACGTAGACATGTGTCTGTATATACTTGCTTGTATGTTTATACATGTAAGATACATATGCAGTTGCACATACATGCTCGGTTACAAGTACAGTTGCATGTGCATGTACATGAACACGTACAGCTACAGTTGCATGTACAGCTACAGTTACCCATACAATTGCATATGTTTGTACATACACATGTACCCACATGCATAGACATATACGTATACAACAGACATACGCATATACACATACGTAAACAAGCATGTATATATATATACATATATGTGTGTATGTATATATGTATATGGTTATATACATATACAGATGCATATGCAGAAGCATATAGCGAATATGCACAATTGTGCAAATTAGTGTCTCCCTCCCTCTTCATGTCTCTCCCCCTCTCAGTTTAATGTGTATATACACATATGCATATATGGTTTTGCACATGTTGGCATGTAAACCCTTTGATGTACATGCATGTGCAGTGTGTGTGTGTGTGCTTGTGTATGCACGTTGTAAACCTGTACGCGTCGCACCAATTCCTATATATACATATGTGTGTGGTTATATACACACATACATACAGACCTGCACACACACACACACACACACACACACACACACACACACACACACACACTTCTTTATGTATACATAAATGTGTACATTTCAAATTTGTACTGGTGCCTGTAAGATTGCATGCGCAAGATTTTTGACACGATACTATGAATGTATTGCGAGGGCCCGGCCGCCGGCCCTGAAGGCGAGATCTTTCCGGGATCCCCGCTGACGACCCCCCCTTGGACCCGCCAGGACCCCAGGTGAGAGCGGTATTCTGACCCGGGACAATCGACTTGACTATGACGTTCCGTTTCTTCGTTCCTCATTTTCTTTGGGATTGACGACGGCGACGACGACGACGGTGGCGGCGACGACGACGACAGCGTCACTCACACGCCGAAGTGTCGGCGGATTTATCTCTCTCTCGCGCGCGCGCCATCGGAGGAGAGGGGGCGGCGCGCTGCGGCGGGGGGAGGCTGCAGACCCAGATTCCCGACGTCCTCAGTTTTCCATAACGTCGACCCCCAGGGGTCTCGACCGACTTCCTGGGGCTGGCTGTTCATCCTGAGTCGTTCTTCGGGACTCAAGAAACGGGGGTCAATGCAAACGAGGGTCAATCGGAGCGCCAGATCTTGCAGGATCCTCCAGCGCCAGGGTTGCACTGACCGGGGCTTGGGCGCAGGATCCTGCAGGATCCTGCAAAGCCTGACTGGCCCGGGTCTGGATGGACCCAGGCCAGTAGATCCCCGAGTTCGTTGACGGCCCCGAGGCCCCGGGGAGGACCCCCAGAGGCTGACAATAGCGAGGAGCCTTCCGTCGCTGTCTTTTCATGGCTCGAGGGGGCCTGGGGGTGCGGGGATCGGGGGAGGAGGAGGAGGAGGAGGAGGAGGGAGGAGGAGGAGGAGAGGAGGAGGAGGAGGAGGAGGAGGGAGGAGGAGGAGGGAGGAGAACGAGCAAAAGGGATCGGGGGGCGGGGGCGCGGGGAGGCCGCCCCGGATCCTGACCCCCCCCGAGGCCCCCCGAGGCCCCGAGAGCCGAAAGACCGAAAACGTCCAACAACCATCCGAGAACGTTCGAAGTCCTCCTCCCTCCTCCTCATTCTCTCCTCCTCCTCTCCTCCTCCTCCTAGTTCCTCCTCCTCCTCCCTCCTCCTCCTCCTCCTCCTCCTCCTCCTCCTCCTCCTCCCTCCTCCCTCCTCCTCCTCCTCCTCCTCCTCCTCCTCCTCCTCCTAGTTCCTCCTCCTCCTCCTCCTCCTCCTCCTCCTCCTCCTCCTCCTCCTCCTCCTCCTCCTCCTCCTCCTCGAGCCTCGGGGAGGGCCGAGGGCGGAACTTGGGAGGCGGGGGAGGCAGGACTGGCGGAGCGGCTCCGCGGAGCAGCTCCGCAGGGCGGGGAGGCGCGCAGGGCGGAAAGGCAGCAGGGCAGCGGCGGGGGCAGCGGCCAGAGGGCCTCCAGGCGGGTCTGCGCACTGGAGGTGGCTGTTCACCCTGTCGGACGGGGCCAGGACGAGGATAACTCCGCTCCAAAGCGTTCTGGAACGCTCTGAGAAGGTCGCGGCGCCCGAGACATCCTCCAGAGCCGCCGGATCCCAGAGATTCTCAAGCCTATCCTCACCCGAATTTATCCTCGTCCTGGCTTCGTCTTACCCTGCGTGCATGCTTGATGGCCCTGAGGCCCGATCCAGTCGGCCCTGATTGGTAGGTCGACCATGCCAAATCAACTGTATCCTTGTGTCCTGTCCATCCCGACCTATGCAGCCGCATGTCCGTTCATGTTCTGGGGCCACGTTGCCGTCGGAAGAGTCGTGTGTCCTCTCGGGTATCCTGTCCAATCATGTCCGATTATAACGGGCCCTAGTGGCCGAAATCCAGGAAGAACTCCTGAATCAGCAACCACGTTTTTGTCGCAGCCGCCTATGTCCAAGCGGCGTTGCTGGGCGGACGCGCTACTGCGCCCCCGCCAACTCCTGCACTGCCTCCTCACTGGCCCGTCTCTGGCGGGATCCGTACCCCCATCCTGCCTACGGAGGTTTCAGCTGGCAGCACTGCCCATCACAAGAGCTCGCCCAGCGCCATTCCTGCTGCATTTTGTCGCCGGGCCGCCGCCCCCCCCGGTCCCGCTGTACTGGGACATCGTACCTCCTGTCGTTGCACTTGCTCCTCGCGCACTGCAGCCCCTGCCCCAGCCCCTGGGTGTGGCCGCGACGCCGCCCTCTGTTGCTCTTGCTGATAAGGCCGCTGTCTGAAGGACTCTTGGGGGTGGGGGAGCAAGGGGCAAAAAATAACGGAGGGCCCCGCAGGGGCCTTCCGTTGCTCCTTGCCAGGTAGAACGCACACCTGAAGAGATCCCCATAGGTCCCAAATTGTTTTCCTGGGAGGAGAAGGAGGAGGCCGAGGCCCCCCCAAGGAAGCCCCAGGAAGCTGTCGTGAGGCCCCAGAGGGACCTTTCGAGGAGGAGCCTCCGCGCAAAAGCACATCAACAAGGATGACGGGGGAGTTCCGTAGCCATGTTGGCTCAAGTTTGGATCAAGAAGCGTGCTGTGGGCGTTCAAGAGTCGTGACGCTTGTGCGTTGCATTGCAAGATATGCTCTCTTCTGGAGGCATCACGGTGCTGGTTGTGTTTCTAATCCGCCCTTGTAGCTCGCAAGGGGGACCTTGCCATGCAAACTGCGGCACAGGATCGTGGCCATCTTTCAACACCGATTGCAGTATTGAGTGCACCGCCAACCCCTACTGCATGTTTTGCCCTGAGTGCTTTACTACGACCAGTGAGACTACTAGCACGACCCGGTCCTCCACCACTGTGACTTCCACCACTGTGACGTCCACCACTGTGACCATGTCGAGTACAAGCACTGCTACCACCATGTCGAGTACCAGCACGGCTACCACCATGTCGAGTACCCGCACTGCTACCACCATGTCGAGTACCAGCACGGCTACCACCATGTCGAGTACCAGCACTGCTACCACCATGTCGAGTACCAGCACTGCTACCTCCATGTCGAGTACCAGCACTGCTACCTCCATGTCGAGTACCAGCACCAGGCTACCACCATGTCGAGTACCAGCACTGCTACCACCATGTCGAGTACCAGCACGGCTACCACCATGTCGAGTACCAGCACTGCTACCACCATGTCGAGTACCAGCACTGCTACCTCCATGTCGAGTACCAGCACTGCTACCTCCATGTCAAGTACCAGCACCACCACCATGTCGAGTACCAGCACTGCTACCACCATGTCGAGTACCAGCACTACTACCACCATGTCGAGTACCAGCACTGCTACCTCCATGTCGAGTACCAGCACTGCTACCTCCATGTCGAGTACCAGCACCACCACCATGTCGAGTACCAGCACTGCTACCTCCATGTCGAGTACCAGCACCACCACCATGTCGAGTACCAGCACTGCTACCACGATGTCGAGTACCAGCACCACCACCATGTCGAGTACCAGCACTGCTACCACCATGTCGAGTACCAGCACCACCACTACGTCGAGTACCAGCACTGCCACCACCATCACGGCCACAACCGCTACCACAAACATTGTCATCACCGGCGCTCATACGACTACCACGGACACTACCACAAGCACTAGGACGCAGGTGCTGGGCGCAGCCGGCGAGCCGAGCGCCGCCTTTGCCTTGTCGGGTACCTTGCTGGCGTTTTTCGGTAGAGCTGCTGTCGGACTGGCGGCTGGCTTTGGCATACATACCTGCCATCGTTGCCGAAGGCGGCAGCGTAAGAGAAGGCAGCGACTGGCAGAACAAGCTGAATTTCTGGAATGCCACAGTGGCGAAGAGATCACCACGCGGTTCGAGGTCGAAGGCGGCAAGATGTACATGTCTATCTGCGGCCGTGCCACGTCGCTGGACTGGCTGCCCCCCGTTACGACGTCCACCCTGCACGGGCACGTCCGCAACCAGCACGGCGGGCAAGCGACCATCCAGACGAGCAAGTTGCCAGATCTCGTTCGGATGTGCGAGAAGGCGGAAGTCCGCCACACCCTGCCAACGAGCTTCGGTAGGAGCCAGCAGCGCCCGGCGGAGGAGGAGAAGGAGGCCGCCGAAGAGGAGGTGCCGCACGTGCCGTCCTCGCGGAGTTGCCCTGTGCCAGTAATGCCTAGTGTGTTTTTCAAAAAATACTTATATATGAGCACATATATATATATATACATACATATACATATATATATACATATATCTATATATCCCTGGGGTGTAGAGCTGCGAGCCCACCGAGGGTGTAGAGCTGCGAGCCCACCGACCACGGCGTCGTGGGAGGCCTCTACCCTCCGCGCGGGCTTCTCAGAGGCATAGCCGCGGAGGATCTCTCGGCTGCGGCCAAGCTTCGAAGGGCCTCCACCCCAGGCTCACAAAGACCCTGGGGTGCGCTCGAGCCTTTTCCCTTGCTGGAGCCTGTTCGGCTGAAAGAAAAACAAAGCAAAAAAAAATAATAATAACTGGGGGGCAGGCCCAGGGCCCACAAACAGCTGCCCCGACCCCCCATGGCAGGACGGGGCGGCCGGGGAGGTCCAAAATAGTCCAGGGGGGCCTCCAGAGGCTCCCCAGACGGCCCAAGCGGGCCCCGAGTCGCCGCAAGACCGCTCCTGGACGCCCAAGATAGGCCCAAGACGGCCCGAGAGGCCCCCCCAAGGCACTCCACGACGCTTCAAGACGCCTCTCCAGAGCGCTTCAAGTGGCCGAAATCGTAAACTTTACGAAGGTTTTGGAGAGGTTTTGGCCTTCCAGCCTTTTCGGCTGTCCGACGTTCCAAGACGGCCCAATGGGCCCCCAAGAGCGCCCCAAGACAGCACAAGAGGGCCCCCAGAGGCGCCCAAGACAGCCCAAGAGAGCCCCAAGACGGCCCCAAGATGCGCCCAAGAGGGGGACCACGACTCCAAAATTCGACCTTCCCACTTGAAGAGTGTCTGAGGAGGCCCCAAGGAGGCCCCAAGAGGCCCCCGAGAGGCACCCAGGAGGCTCAAACGAGGCCTCAAGAGGCCACAAAACAGTCCCGAGGAGGCCCCACAACGGTCCCAAAACGGCTGCCGAGAAGCTGCGAAACTGCCTTCACGACGTCCCCGACAGGCCAACCACGAGATCCAAACCAAACCCATGAGGCCTCTGACCCACCACCTAGGGCACCCGCCGCCCGCCTGCCGCCATCCGCACGAAACACCACGCGATGACGTGTGTAGTTTGGTCGGGGCATGGCGTGATCGCGACGACGTGTGTATTCTGATCGATGCATGATGTGGTCGCGATGACGTGTGCGGCTTGGTCGACAGGCATGCGCACCGCTCCCCTTTTCCTGCCCCCCCTCCCCGGGGCGGCGCGGAGGAGCCTCGGCCACGCACCCGGCGGCGCGGGCGCACTGCGTGCCAGTGTGGCTTTCTTCCACGCCGCCTCCGAGGACTCGGGCGGGCGGGCTGGGGTGACAGAAACAGGCCGGCCGGCGGGCGGCTCTCGTTGTCCTCTTCCTTTTTGTTTTTTCTCCTCCCCCGCCTCCTCCGCGGCCTCCTCCTCCTCCTCCTCCTCTTCTTCCTCCTCTTCGGGTCGTTTTCAAAATGTGGTTCTCGCCTTAGCGCCGCGCACAGTCGCCTTGCAAATGTGTGCAAGAGCATCTCTGATTGAGGGCGGGTGGTTTCCAAAATGCGGTTCTCGCTTTAGCGCCGCGCGCATTCGTCTTGACCGTCTGCAAGAGTTCACGGATTGAGGGCGGCTCGTTTTCAAAATGTTGTCTTCGCGTCAGCGTCGCGCACACTCGTAATAAGCATTCTCAGGAGTTTCGCGGGCTCCCATTGTTAATCTTCCAGACATGGCGTTTTCAAAGCGCAACAGTTACATTGATGCGCGGTGTCGAAGTCCCATGAATAGCGTTCTGGCACGATTCAGGGTCGTGAAGACGCAACCGTCAGGTTGACACGTGGCGTTGGAGTCCTACGAACGGTGTTTTGGCACGCTTAAGGATTTTCACACGGTTGTCTCCCAACGGGGCACGTCCCTCAGGGGAAGTAAATACCTGTATGGGACTTATGAAGAGGGAGCTTTGAGGGAGGGTGTATCCCAACATCGTTGGTGAGCCTTGGGTTTACAGTGGTCCTCTCCTCCTCCTCCTGCTCTTCCTCCTCTTCCTCCTTCTCCTCCTCTTGACCTTTTTCTTCGCACGAAGGCATACGGAAATCCTGCAACCTATGAGAACATATGTTGGGCAATTTAGGGGGGACCCAAGATTGGGGCCTCTTGGGCCCTGTTGGGCACTACTGGGGCTCTCTGGGGCCGTCTTGGAGCGCTCTTGGGCCGTCTGGCGCCTCTTGGAGATTGTATGACTCCTCTTGAGAGCCTCTGAGTCTCTTGGGGCGTCCTGATGGCCTGCCGGCGGTATCGGGAGTCATCTTGTCAGGGGAGGACTCCTGGCCCCTTTGGTGCCCCGTTTGGGGGTCTCGTAGGCCCCTCCGTCTTTGGCGATATTGGAACCCTCTGCGGCCGTTTCGGACGCCCTTTAGGCCGACATGCGATAATGCTAAAATTGGATTTCAAGATGCTGGTTGGTAACGATTTGGGCTTCAGGGCTTCAATCCTATGATTGACCCCGCGGACCCCCTGGATCGGGACACATGGCCCCCTGTCCACCATGAGACGCTTCACTGCAGAGTCAAGAGACGTTCTTAGCTGCGCAAGCTGGCCTCCTGCTGGCTCTCGAGCCAAAGCGGCTGCGAAGGGCAAGACCGTTGCGCCCCCAGCAACCGCG